AGTGTACGATTACGTCCCGGGGAGAGAGTGGTACGGAGAGAGGAGAGAGGGTGATTATGAGACTTAAACGTAGTGGTGGGACTTTGAGAAGAAGCTGATTAGAGGATGAGGTGTGGAAGGGGGAAGGAAAGGATGCGTTTGTCAAAAGAGGAAAGATACGTGTGAAGTGTGGACAGACTTACCGAAGAGAAAAAGAAATCACTTTGAAGTCTTCTGACTATCGGATCAAGAACATCTTTGACTTTTCTCGTAAACTAGAGAAAATTAGTTTTAAGCCCAACCTTCGATATCGTTACTTTTTGAACCCTCAGATGTCAAAGAAGGGTTGTAGGTGAAGGAGAAAAAAAGAGGGGAAAAGTCAAAACCGATAAAGTGACAAACCTCTTCTTCCTCCCATATCTTCTTTCTCTTCCCTTTACCCATCCCCCATCCCCAAACTCGAGGAGCTACAGTCCCACCTGGACCTCTAACATATTCTTCATTCAACTTTGCACCACCTCCCACAAATTCCTCATCTAATTTCACACGTGAAATATCATCTCCATCTTCATCTCCTCCACCTCCCAGACCCCATAAACCCACATGTTGTAATCGAGCTTTATGTATACTTCTGACTCTTTGAGGAGCGTAGTAAGTTTCTGGAAAAGGTAATGAACGAGTTTGAGCTGGATAAACTAGATTTGAATAGTTGGGGGATAATGAGTATAATGTGTGGTTCTGATCTCAATAACTTTCATTCAATATTTGACGATGCTACGAGACTTTGGACTGAAGTGGGATACTTGTACAAACACTCTGTTTTCAGATACAAAGAGATTCGGTCAGAATAGTATATTGATCATGACATATAGAGGAATATTGAGGAAAGAGGGGTAATTTCATTACGGCCATGTCGGATGAAACGTGAATGAGAGTAGTGAAGTAGGGAAGAGAAGATCATGTGGGGTTGAAAGGAAGAACAAGTACTTAGGGGTAAAGTGAAAGATAATTAAACTCACTATTAAATCAGTCAATCTCTCATCGATATAAACTTTCCAAATCAACCCTTCGGCCCATTGTTCCTTAGTCAAAAAATCATCTAAACTGGACCTATTCACATGATCATTGTTATCGTTATACCTCTCCGCGGATCCTTCACTGTCAGACCAACTATGTCTAGAGCCAGTAAGATTAACTACAAGAGCATCTAACGAGACTGGTCTGTGGCCTTGTTTTAAATGAGGAGTGGATAGAGTCGTGGAGGAGAGTACCCAAGGATGTTTAGAGATTTGGAGGAGTGAGATTAGGTAGATACTTTGTGGGTCTGAAGCGGGGAGAGGGAGGATAGGAGGGGTTGGGTGAAGAGTGAGAGTTGACATTTGATCAACAACTGTATGATTCCGATATCATTCAGTATGAGATGAGGCTGGGTGAGTGGAGAAAGAAAGAGTATCAAGGAAGTTACAAGGAACAGGGGGGAGGGTGGGAAGGAGGGAAGGAAGGAAGGAAGGAATGTGGCATTGTCGTAATTGTGGCACTTTTTCAACATTTACACGGTAGCACGGAACATGTTTTCCGACCTTTTTCTTACTTGTACCACACGACTCGTGACTCACTCGGGTCCACATGCGGAGAGTAGACAGGAGATTAGGATGTCGTTTGAAAGATCTCATGAGTTTAGCATGAGAGTCGAGATTGACATTCCATGGATAAACAAGTAGAGTCATGGTCAAATCCTCGTGCATGCAGAGTCACTACTTACTCTCATTGATGATTCTCCAAAGTGGACACTGAATCTTCGGTGATGAAGGAAGATTGAGAAGTGAGAACAAAATAGATAAAATCTCAAGTTCCCCAAGATACATCAAGATAAGTATAAGATCTCTACTTTAGTTTTCTTATCCTTCCCCTCTTCTTTCCCTTCCATTGGCATGACATTTTGCTCATCTCCTCACTTCCCTTATCCCCGACTTTATAACCCCCGCCCCCG